CACACACACACACACACACACACACACACACATACACACATACACACATACACACACACTAACTGCAAAGACTCCCTTTTTGTGCTTCGCACACGGGAGTCAAAAACAATTGAAAACTGAGATAAACAAATATTTGAAAAAAAAAAAAGATGAGAAAAACTACAAATACAAATTGCCATGGTGATAATCATTGTTCAGCACACTTTCAATTCTCACGTTCTCACGTAATAATATTGTTTCAATTGCATGATACCAATATTGAACACAATGTGCAGTGAAGACCACCACCCAATAATACCATGGCAACTGTTCTTATGACGGAACAATCTGAAGAGTGCATTGTATAATATCCCATTGTCAGAACCTTTATACAAATTATAAGTTTTTTTTAATAAGACTCATTAGTAAAAATTAAACTGACCTTATCATTGAGTGCACATTGTTCAGAACATATCCTGGTTATGATGTTCTTGATTTCTTTAGCCATTTCATCTAGAAAGAGATTTACTGCTGATAAACTTCTGTCACCAACGTGGTGTCGCTGTGAAATAAACATAGGGGAGCTGATACATTACCTATCATGTATATTACCAATATTACATATGAACATCATCTACAAATGACAGCAAATCCTTTTGGGCAATGGAACAAGAGATTACAAGTATCTACAGAATGTGTGTTGCTGTATAACATGTGACAAAACCTGTCTTACCTCTTCGGGACACAGTTCGTGTGTACAGTTTAAGAAATGGCTGCATATAAGTGGAAAGGCGATGATGTATCGACACTGAGATGGCATGTCAAGACACTGACGAAAAAACTTCTCAAAGCAATGATTGTAATGACTGAAAATAACAGAAATAACAAACGATTTTTAAATTGATTCAACAAGACAACAATCACTAATTACGTAATTAATATTCTGTGCAAATTTAAATATTAAATATTTGTATATATTGTGTTTGTAAGTGGTCATGTGACTTATTTTAAAGCATTGTACAACACAACTATTGAAAGAAGACCTCTATACTGTATGTTCATTTGATTCTGTTCAAGGTATTTCATAATGGGTAATTTGTGGATGCCTACACCATTTTAAAATACTGTAAAATACTTTATTTTAGCTTGAATTTATTTTCGCTGAAAAATCTTTTGAGTGTTTTGTATGGAATTTATTTTCACTGATTTTTGATGAGTTGAATGTAAAATATGGTAAAAATGGTATATTCACTGGATTTTATTTTCACTGAATCATCCCTTCAGCTAATATAGCGAAAATTAATTCCAAGCAAAAATAAAGTACTTTACAGTAACAGTAATATTTAATGTTTATTAAACATTGAATTATCAGATAAAAACACTACAGCACTGAAAGTAGATATTTTCCTTGTCTATTGTAAGTGTATTTGATTGGTTAAATTTTTAGTTAGTTAGTTAGTTAGTTATACATCCAGCACCAAAAACAATAGAAATTACCATTACAGAAAAAGCTGTATAAACATTCGTTTCATTGACACATTCCGGGTTATTGACGTAACATTTGAACACTTTGTTTACATTAGACACAGTAAGTCTGAAATATAATCCCATTATTCGTTGCAATTTTGGTTTTAATTTGTCATTAAATTATCAAAAACAAGCAGCCTCTTGGCTGAGATAGCTCCGCTGTTAGCAATGCACATTTCAATTAAAGAACAGAAGATATCATTAGAAAATGAACAATATGAATAGTATCAATGCAATGAGACTTGCTGTTTTCAACAAGAATTCAAAAATATCACTTTTCACCAAAAATGACAAAAATATTCATCAAAATTGGAGAATTGAAGATATCATCATACAAATGAACAAATTTGAGAGAGGTCCACATGTAGTACCTATATATGTAATATCAAAGCAATTGGACTTGCAGTTTTTAACAAGAAGTCGAAAATATCAGTTTTTACCAAAAATGACAAAAATATTCACCAAAATTAGAAAATTAAAGATATCATCATGAAATGAACAAATCTGGGAGAGATCCACATGTAGTACCTATATATGTAATATCAAAGCCATTGGACTTGTGGTTTTTAACAAGAAGTCGAAAATATCAGTTTTTACCAAAAATGACAAAAATATTCACCAAAATTAGAAAATTAAAGATATCATCATGAAATGAACAAGTCTGGGAGAGATCCACATGTAGTACCTATATATGTAATATCAAAGCAATTGGACTTGCGGTTTTTAACAAGAAGTCGAAATTATCAGTTTTTACCAAAAATGACAAAAATATTCACCAAAATTAGAAAATTAAAGATATCATCATGAAATGAACAAATCTGAGAGAGGTCCACATGTAGTACCTATATATGTAATATTAGAGCAATTGGACTTGTGGTTTTTAACAAGAAGTCGAAAACATCACTTTTTACCAAAAATTACAAAAATATTCACCAAAATTAGAGAATTGAAGATATCATCATGAAATGAACAAATTTGAGAGAGGTCTACCCAAGGT